AGGCAGGCAGAGAAAGAGGGGGAAGCAGGCTCCCTGCTGAGCAGAGAGCCCGATGCAGGGCTCGATCCCAGGACCCTGAGATCATGACCTGAGCCGAAGGAAGAGGCTTTAACCCACTGAGCCACCCAGGTGCCCCAGGCGCCCCATTTTTTTTTTTAACTAGATACCAAAACGACTGGACTGATTACAAAGGAAAAGACTTGATTAAGTGGACTAAATTAAAACTAAAAACTTCTGTTTTCCAAGACACAATTAAGAGAGGTAAAAGATAGGGGTGCCTGAGTGGCTCAGTGGGTTAAAGAGAGGTAAAAGATAAGCCACAGAGTAGGAGAAAATATCCATAAGACATACAACAAAAGAGCATATACCCAGAGTATACAAAGATCTTGTACAAATCATTATTTTTAAAAAGGCAACTCAATACAGAAAGAAAAAAACAAAAACAAAAGAAGAGGCAAGAGACCTGGACAATACAGAAAAGAATATGACTAAGAAGCCAAAGCACCGATGAGAAAGTGCTGAATCTCATTAGTAATCAAATGAGAATCACAATGAAATACCACTACACACATCAGAACAGCCAACATTATTAACACTGTTAATACGATGTGTTGTCCAAGCAAGGGAAAGTCATTTACTGGTGGTAATAAACACAGTTATACAATTACTTTGAAAACCTGACAATTCCCACTACAGCAGGATTATCCTGTGACCTAGCAATTCCACCTGGGGGCATATCCAAGAGAAATGAGTACATGTGTCTACCAAAAACAGGTACAAAACACATATAGCAGCTTTATTCATAAAGCCTCAAACCAGAGTCAGCCCAAATGTGTATCGACAGAAGAATGTTATATATGGAATGGGGCTTGAAAGACGTCTCTAGGAATTTTCTATTTGATGACCAGACCGGGAGCTGCAGGGAGGTTTGCTTTGTGATAGTTCACTGAGCTGTAAATTTAAGCTTCATTCACTTGTCTTTATTTGTGTAACACTTCATAATAAAAAGGTTTAAACACAAACGAAAGGCACCATAAGATGACCAATGCCAGGGTACACAGCAGCCCTACTAGAGTGTGTGCCCTATTTGTTTAAATCACAATCCGAGACCCAATTCAACTCATCAGCTTCCTCCGAGAAGTGTGGGCAGCCAAGCACGGTCCAAGAGGAGCCTCTCCCATTAGACAGATCAGCTACATCCACTCGAGAAGACCTTGCTAAATCCTGTCTTGGGATAAGGGAGTTGCAGGGTTTAGACCAGAGGATTAGCACGAGATACCACTTTCCTTTCACATTTCTGGCCTCCCAATAAAAAAGCCACAAGAGAGATAGAAAAACCTATTCTTATCGCAGAAGCAGTCCGGCCTTCCCAGAAGCTTGGCCCACATCTGAGACAGCCTGGGACGCCACCACGGCCCTCGTGTCCTGAGCTCAGCGAAGGGCAGATGAGCACATCAAAGCCAAGTGCCCTCAGAGACGCCAGCAACTGTGCCTGAGACTTAACACCCAGACGTGGGTGAGGAAAGAGCCGCAGAAGGTAGGAAGAAAATTTGCCTTTTGTGTGACTTAGCTGCAGTCATCTCTGCCGTGCGTATCTACTGCCTGCTTATTTAATCATGCTCTATGCTTTATCCTATACGCCACACATGGTCCTGGACGCCAAGAATATAGTAAGGACCGAAAAAGACATGGTCTCAGCCGCATAGCTTACGGATTAACATGCAAATGTGTATTCATAAATGGTGAAAAGTATCCTATTTAGGGATAAAGGAAGGTTCCATGAAAGAGAATAAAAGGAAGGGTCTTATTACTATGGTTTGAGTTTTCAGTCTACTGAGTCAGACTTGTCTTCTTACTCTTCTAAGCTTTCAGGTATCTGAAACAATGGTGAAAAACAGTATTTATCCAGATAGAACAAAAATGACGGAAAAGCAGCCATTTGCCATTTACTGCATCCCGCCTTAGTTGCCTTCCCCCTGTCAGTTGTCCTCAACGCGTCAATTAAGAACTGCTTTTCTTTTTTTTTTTTTTTTTATCGTTACGTGATCGGGTGGGGCGGCAGCATCAGCAGCATTTCATAGCTGAGGACCAGGAATGCTGGATGTCCTACAATATGCAGATGGGACAGCACGATCCAGTGTTCTGGAAACCACGTAACTTCTGGATGTCTGCCAGATACTTATCCACATAAAAGCCTGTTTATAATCACCTGAGGCTAGAATCTAAGTCTGTTTTCCACTTAAACACAAAGTATTTTTTGTACTGTTTTTCATATACTGAATTTTCCATTACTGAGTCATCAATACAACATACCTGTATCAGTCTGCCTTTATACTTACGGCATTCATATTTGTGTCAACATCTGACTAGTTCATTACAACTCTTAGTGCAGTAATAGCTGTGCATTTACAGAGCAACATACCTAGCTTTTTTTTTTTTTTTTAGATTTTTTATTTATTTGACAGAGAGAGATCACAAGTGGGCAGAGAGGCAAGCAGAGAGAGAGAGAGCGGAGGAAGCAGGCTCCCTACAGAGCAGAGAGCCCAATGCGGGACTCGATTCCAGGACCCTGAGATCATGACCCGAGCCGAAGTCTGAGGCTCAACCCACTGAGCCACCCAGGTGCCCCCATACCTAGCTTATTATAAATTACTTTTATTTCTTCTTTATATTCTGTTTATTGTATCATATTGACTTCTTTCCTAACATGTAGGTAGGGGAGAGTATCTCTGAATTTTAGTTCAAGAGAGTAAGGAAGGCATTATAAAATATTGGTTACAGGTCTCAGTACTGAGTCTCAGAGGGTTGAGAACATGGGTCCTAGATTTTCATTAAACAGAAGCTCCTTAAGGACACAGGTTAAGTCTCATATTTATTTTCCCCTTAGTACCTGCTTTGGCAGCTTAAATCGATGACAGACATTTGCTAATTTACTTAAACCACATACAAAACTCACGTCAATAAGCAAAATTCTCTGAGCTTTCCTTTTCTGGGACTATAAATACTAATCAAGAAACGATAGGGAAGTCTCCCTTTCCAGTCTGAAGAAAGTTACTTGGTTTCTCCATGACTTATTTCAACATATAATGAGATGATTTTAACAAAGTAAGTTTCCTTTAAAGTAAGTAAGGAAGGTTACAAATTGCACGATACAAAATAGAGTTTTTTAAAATTCCAAAATGCTTAAGGGCAGGCAGGAAGGGAATGTTTAAGTACAGTTGACTCTTGAACAACACAGGAGTTAAGGGGCATGGAACCCCCATGAAGTCAAAAATCCATGTGTAACTTTTGACTCCCCCCAAATTTAACTACTAATAGCCCGCTGCTGACTGAATGCCTTCCCAACAACATACACAGCTGACTAACACATGTTTTGTATATTACATATATTATATACAATATTCTTAGCATAAAGTCAGCTAGATAAAGATGTTACTAAGAAAATCATAAGGAAGGGGCACTTGGGAGGCTCAGTGGGTTAAGCAACCGACTCTTGATTTCGCCTCAAGTCATGATCTCTGAGTCATGAGATCGAGCCCTGTGTGAGGCTCCACACCCAGCATGGAGTCTACATGAGATTCTCTTTCTCCTTCTGCTCCTCCTCTCTGCTCACAGCACTCTCTCTCTAAATAAAATCTTTAGAAAAAAAAAAAAAAGGAAAACACATTTACAGTACTGTACTGCATTTAAGACTCCCCATGTATAAGTGGACCCACACAAGACAAACTTGTCCTGTTCAAGGGTCAACTGCATTTCATCACCTTGGTCTTCTTCAAGTATCCCCTACTCAATGAATTGTATCATCATGTAACCAACTTTAAAACCTAGAAACCTAGATCATGGTTGACAATGCCCTTACCACCCCATCCCATCAAGAAGTCTTACCAATTTTACTTCCTCACCATTCTTCTGATTATGTAGGTACTGGCATATACTTTAGTATACTCTGGAAATCTCAGACATCCTCCTATTGTCCTATGCCTCTTTAATCCCTTAAAAGCTTCCTGCTGAAAATTATGGTTGGGTTTCTATTAAGTGAGGGTCTGCTATTATTTCCTAATAACAATAATTTCAAAGATAATTCAACCTCTATCTCTTTTTAACTCAACATAAATCAGTGATTTATCTTTTGATTATGTTGTTTGATTAATCAAGTAAGATACTAAGTTACATATAAATGTTAACAAGACAAGTGAAGCAAACAAGGCCAAGAAGAAGGTTGGTATGTAATATATATTAAGGATGCTCAACACAAAAACAGGAAAGCCAGATGCTGGACTGGCTAAATTAAAAAGAGGTAACATTAAACATAGGCAAAAACAAACAAACAAAAAAACCAACAACAACCAGAAAGCCTACAAATAATTCACAATTGATGACATAATAACATAGGTGAGCCAACCATACAGAATGGCAACCACCGTATTAGGAAGAGCCTCACACCCTGAGAGTTGCTAGGAAACCATTTCACTTACCTATCCTTACTCAAAGTAGTAAAAGGAATGGCAGGGAAATGAAGGTGGGCCCCAGTGAGTTCTATTTTACTTCTAGAGAAACAACTTTCCCTCTGTCATATTTTTTAATATACTCCAAAAGCAGAGGAAATGATTAGTTGTAAAGTCCTAAACCTGGTATGTTTCAAAAGCTAAGAAATAGTTGTAAAAAAGTAAGTCAATAAACAATGACAAGACACCGGTAAAATCCCTAATTCTTAGCTATAAATGTTTGTTTGGCTAGAGAATTATCTGGAAGAACTCTGAACGTTAAAAAAAAACTGATTACAGGAAAAGAGGCAATTATGATAAATCTTTATGAACAAACTCATACGAAATAAGCAAAAATGTGATCAACAACTTTCAATCCTATTAACCCAAGGAAATGTACTAATAACTGTAATAATCACTGGTAATATCCAGTAAGACATTTATTTTAAAAGTCTGAATTCACAGAAACTTTCTCTAAATCTTAAAAAAGGTGACCACATTAGATGAACATCATACCGTAAGGTTTTTCTTCTGTTACTTTCCCAGTAGAATCTAGTGTGTCAGTAGCTTTCCCCAGTTCTCCAATGGCAATATACCTCTAGAGGAAGAGAAGCAAGGGAGAAAAATACGTCATAAGGTAAAGAAAAATTGTTATGTATGTCTTAAAGTTTTATACAGAATTTCACCAATACTACCAACTTGACACTAAATTAAAAGCAAAAATAAGACCGCAGTTGTTTTGTTAACTTTTGATATGTGGGAAGCACTTGTATAAATTAAGGAGCATTCACAAACTTCCCACACCAGCCAACATGACAAGGAAAAGCCTGATTTTATTGACAATTATGGCTTATAAACACAGTTATTACCAACGTATTTCTAAAACCAGTTTTATACTAGGCAGTTTTGATTCTGAAGGAAAAATTTCCAAATATACTTATGAGTGGAGAGAATGGTACAATAAATCCCTACATGGCCATCACAAGACTCAATAATTTTACCACACATATAATTAAAATTAATTTAAAAATAAAATCAGTTTACTACTTCTTATATGAAATACTAAAACCAAGCTCAGTAACTTGATTAGATATATAAACAAAAACTAAATATGTAGAAAATGGGCCAAACTCGTACAGCAAGGGTAGTATACTTAATATTACATGAGTTTTCTTAATGAAGAGAAATAGCTACTTCTCGAGCTCTCTAAGAGGAAAAAAGTCACTTCTAAGAACTGATCATTTATTCATAAGTGAAGAATTACAGCATTCATAGTTAACTGAGGCCTATTTACTTCTCACCTCGGGGCACACTTGCATTACATATTCTTTTTTTTTTTTTTTTTAAGATTTATTTATTTGAGAGAGAGAGCACACAAGTGGGGAGAGGGTCAAGGGAGAGAAGCGTACTCCCCAGTGCTGAGTGTGGAGTGATGTGGGGGCTTAGTCTCAGGACTCTGAGATCACAGCCTGAGCTGAAATCAAGAGTCCGACGCTCAACTGACTAAGCAGGTGCCGTGTATTACATATTCTTTATACTGCCCTCTTTTGGTCAAATTCAAGTTTTACTTAGAACATCTCATGAAACAGTGAGAAAAATGCAAGGAATATAATCCCCACTGAAAATAATCTGTAGTTACGTGGGCAATTTGTTAAAAGAGGAAGCTCAAAATACTTTGCAGAAACTTAAGTTTATTAATGACAAGCTTATTAGGCTATTGGAGGAACCAGAGACAAAAATGAGAAAAATATTAAAACTTCAAATTCCCATAAACAAGCATTTTATACCAGCTTACATGCCCATTGATGAAATCATCTTCTATTATGTAGCTCAAAATAGTTTATGATTTTTCATTAGAAAGAGAGAGAAAGAAAGAACGAGCAGGAGAAGGAACAGAGGGAGAGAGAGAGAGACTCTCCAGCAGGTTCCGCGCTGAGTGCAGAGCCCAACACGGGGCTTGATCCCAGGACCCTGAAATCATGACCTCAGCCAAAATCAATAGTCGCACACTCAACCAACAAAACAACCCAGACAGCCCAATGGACTACAGAAGGTAATGTTCCAATATATTTGAATTAACTTTTAAAAATTTCATTAGTGGGGCGCCTGGGTGGCTCAGTGGGTTGGGCCTCTGCCTTCAGCTCAGGTCATGATCTCAGGGTCCTGGGATCGACCCCACATCGGGCTCTCTGCTCAGAGGGGAGCCTGCTTCCCCCTCCGCCTCTGCCTGCTTCTCTGCCTACTTATGCTCTCTTGCTCTCTCCCTCTCAAATAAATAAATCTTTAAAAAAAAATTTCATTAGTATTGTCAGAGAAAGACATATACCATATGATTTCACTCATACCTGGAATTTAAGAAAAAACAAATGAACAAAGGAAAAAAGAGACAAACCAAGAAACAGACCTTTAACTAGAGAGAACAAACGGAAGGTAACCAGAAGGGAGGTGGGTGGGGGGATGGGGGAAACAGGTGATGGGGTTTAGAGTACACTTGTGATGAGCACTGAGTAACATGCAGAATTGCTGAATCTCTATACTATACACCCCAAACTGATATAACACTGTATGTGAACTATACTGGAATTAAAATTTTAAAAGTCCTCCAAAAAACTCCATTAGTATTGATAAAAATTAGTTTCTTGTAACTAAACATTCAGTCTCATCACTTAATTGATGAGATGCTCCATTCCTGCTTCCATATTTTGGAATAATCAACCTGGATTAAGCGTAATCATGGAGAAAAGTACATACAGCAGGGTGAATGGGAAGAGCTGGACTCAAAGGTTTGAATCTTGACTGCATCACTTGAGTAAAGTAGGTCAAGGAAGTCTTTCCTGCTGGAGCCGTGTTGTCCTTAAGATGGAGATGATACTAGTACCTTGGGAGGGCAGAGCTGAGAACAATACCTGGCCATGGTGAGCACCACTGAACAACACTATTATCATTATTTAAAAAAAAAAAAAGAAGAAGAAGAAGATGAAGATACAGAATGATTTACAGTAACTGGGTAGAGTACCTCACCTAGCTACAGTGAGTTCCCATAAGAAACAGTAAAGCAAGAAAATGCTCTAATTTTTGCCTTAATTATCTATCTTATTGCATGAGAAAAACCCTGCGATCATGTATACTATGCCTTGAAAATGTTGAAAATGTCTGCACTATTCTATGTAACAAGTTTTAACCAGGAATCTTTTAATATTGGAACATGCTTTCAAGTATGCAATATTCATTCTCCTCTTCTTGTCTCCAGACTCCAGGGATTCTTGCACAAGCTACTTCCCTAGCCTTGAGCTTCCTCTCTTTTCTAAGATTCAAATCCTACCTCCTGTTCATCTTTCAAAGCCACCCTATTAATTCCTCTCAACTTCCAATCACCTACCTGGGAACAAAGCTAAGAGTAAGCACTCAATACAAGTTTCTTACCTAGAAGAAAGGCCTATATCAAACCCACATCATGTATTCATTCATTCATTTCTTTTTTTTTTTTTTTAAGATTTTATTCATTTATTTGACAGACAGACATCACAAGTAGGCAGAAAGGCAGGCAGAGAGAGGAGGAAGCAGGCTCCCCGCTGAGCAGAGAGCCCGACGCGGGGCTCAATCCCAGGACCCTGAGATCATGACCTGAGCCGAAGGCAGAGGCTTTAACCCACTGAGCCACCCAGGTGCCCCTCAATCATGTTTCTTAAGGGCTGTGAATGTACAAATTATTTTACTAGGAGCTTGTGAGAAATACAAAGATATATATTGATCCTTATCTTCTCCAATTACAAACTGTTAGCTTGGATTTTGCATTGCTGTTCTATTGTGTTTCTTACTAAATGGAAACATGGTAGCTATTTAATTAAAAATTTGTTGATAGAATTATATACATGTTGGAGAAGTTCTTATCTGTGAAATTCTTCACATTTCACCATAGTTTGGGACATCCAGATTGTATCTGCCAAGTTTCAAATCCTTCCAGGTTCTGTGCTTACACTTAATCTGGCTACATGCTGCATTTTTTAAAAAGGGAAATAAAATACCTAAATCAGCAATTCTCAAACATTGTGATTTAAACCCCTATATACACTTGAAAGTTATTTAGAGGCCCTGGCACAATTTTTTTTTTCATATGAGTTCTATCTGTTGATACTTACTGTGTTAGAAATTAAAACACAAAAATGTTTAAAACACTGATATACATGTACACATTCCATTAACTATCAGAGGCATGCTATCAATCAGACAACCTCTGAAAAACTCCACAACATACTCATCAGATTGCAAAGCTATGAAAATAGTTTTGACTTCAACAGACCCCTGAAAATACCTCAGAAGTCCCTGGACCATACTTTGTCAACTGCTGAGCTAAATCATAGCTGTTTTCTAGCTCTCCCTTGTTTGGCATCTAGTGATAATAATCTTTTAGTTCTAGTCAATGGTCCACAAGCTACTTAGAAAAATCCAGTCAGACAGGCAAGCCCTCAAGAGAAACAAAACCTCACCACCAAGAAGAAAAAAGACACGGGAATGTGTATACACACATCACCATTTTATCCTATGGGGTCAAAAGTATTTCTATTTACTGCCCTAAATTCTACAGAGAGAGATAGGATGCATACCTGATAATTCTGAATTCTGTTAAGGTATTCGTTAAACATAAATTGACTGCAACAAAACAAATGGAAGTCCTAAGAATTCTGAAAGAAGTTTCCACTGAACTGTGTGCTCTGTGGGATTCACGGTTTCTCTCTGCTACTAGTAGTACCCTACTTTCTACTTTACTCATCTTCAAGTTCCCGGAACCCCATAGCAAGATATTAGCTAGACAGATTTAAGAGCAAATTGGCTTCTGTACTCTTCAGAAGAAAGGAAATGTTTTTACATTATAGAAAGTATACATAATCATTTCCCTCTCAAGTAAGCAATTGCTTTTTGAGGTCTGATGTGAAAGCTTGTCATTTAAAGTTTCACAAACAAAGGAATATTATTTATGATGAGGAAGAACTTTTTTTTTAAAAACCTACCAAACCAAGAACATGTAACTTCAAATGTCTTCATTAAAAAAGGAATAGCTCTTTATAGATCATAAGTGTGAGCCCTTCAAATTTTCAATATACTACTCATGAAATGTATGCATGTTAATAGAGTGTAAAGACAAGGTACAAATTGGACTAGACTCTGAAGAAAATGAAAGAAATGCACAAGTCCTGGAGAGCTGGCTTATATTTCACAGGAGCAATATTCAAGTCACACTTCAGAGCAGCCATTGACTGGTTAACCTCAAAATGCTACTGTACACTTGGGGGAAGGTTACTGTCTTTTGAACACATCCAGGGTGGAAAAGTTCGGATACCCCAATGATAATATTTGTTCAACTGCTGAAGGGATACAAAGCTGCTTTCTGAAGAAATGCTGGGTTTGTCTAGAGGTACCACTTCAGTTTATCTCCACAGAGATAGGGGAGTAGCCTTACATCTGGAAAATGCTAGTCTTTATATGGCATGAGTGATTTCATAATAGGACGTCAACCCTTCCATCTGCTCATGTGGTTTCTAAAGCGCATATAAGTAACTGACTTTAATCAGCAATATAGGACGCTAATAAAGGTAGTACTACAAAATCTCATCACAGTCTGTTACTTCTAAGTATATCTGCTTAGTGATTGGCTCAAAGAAAGTATAATGTAGGGAAGCTGGTAGAGGGATCATTGCAACCACTGCCTTCTTCTAGGTATTTAGAACAAGTTAGGCCAAAGGGACACATTAGCCTAACGTCTCTCAGAATTATCTTACTTAAGTTACATTTTATATAGATCCACTTCTTTATCTGTTGTAAAACGATTTTTGAGAACCACTGTCTGTCATGCAAGATCCCTCACAGTTAGAAATTTCTTTCTCACTTTAATGCCCAGAGAAACTGTTTCTCCCTAAAGAACAGGCAGGTGATACTCCCTGTTTCTGATGAGTGCCATGTTTTGCCTAGATTACCAGAAATCATAGATATGAAAAAGAATGAAATTAACTGTACTCAAGATTTCCAACAGAACTTGCTTAGAAGACATAAACATCAGTGTTTATGGAACATGTAGTTAAAGAGATCCAATAGGCCTGGAACTCAAGAGAGAGATCCAGGGATACACAAAATACTTGGGAATAGTAATATTACTGATCCTTGTACATCATGGATTCAAACTGCATGGGTCTACTTATATGTAATTTTTTATAGTCAGTACTATAAACGCATTTTTTCTTCATGATTTTCTTAATACCACTTCCTTTTCTTGAGCTTACATTAAGAATACAGTATAAAATTCAAATAACCTATGAAGTATGTGTTAATAATTAACTATGATATCGGTAATGTTTATGATAAACAGCAGGTGACTAGTAAGTTAAATTTTTAGGGAGTCAAAATTATATGGTGTTTTATGACTATGTAGGGGGTTAGTACCCTTAACCCCTGTGTTTTTCAAGGGTCAACTCTTAATAGTATTTATTGACCTACTTTTTATACACATTATAAATGTAACCAAAAAGAGCATGCAGTGAAAAAAAAAATGGCTCAAGAGAAACATAATCATTGGAAAAGCAAAGAGTACTATAAGAAAGGAGAGGAAGAAGTGAAGAACACAGAGTAGTTCTTAGATACTTAGTACTTAGATAGTACACTGATCTGAATTGGAAGGAATGTAAGAAAGGAGTTGGGTGGTTGAAATGGTCTCTGGTCTTCAAAGAATGGAACCAAATCATCTGATGGCGTAAAGAGTTTATTAAAAAGGTCAGCACTCTACCCATTAACTGACAGTGACTGTATGAAGTGGCATTATGTTGAAATGAATTCTAAGGATGTCTCTTGGTTCAACAGTAAAGAGTGTTAGGCCATGTTCAATTAGCAATGTCTCTAATCAGGACTGGATGGTGAGGGAGGGAAGCACTGTGATAAGGTTGTAATGTGAACACTGCATATCTGCCATCCAAGAACAAATAATGCTACTCTTGAGGTAACTCTACCCTGCACATACTATAAGATGAATTTTTCTAGTAGCATTGTGATGTAAATAAAATTCGTCTGTAAAAGCAGGAAGTGGAGAAAGAGTAAACATAGGTCCAGTGGTAGGTCTGGTAGGTCCATGCCTAGTTTGGAGGCTGTAGGAACCAATTTTTTTTAAGGAAGTAGAAGCAAAAATATCAAGAGTACATTGTACATAGGGTTAATAAGGCTGTTTAATGAAATTTTTGCTTTTTGTTTTTTTTAAGACTTTATTTATTTGAGATAGAGAGACCAACCACATGCATGAACTGGGAGGAGGGGCAGAAGATGAAGGCGAAGCAGGCTCCCCAAGCCAAAGGCATAACCGACTGTATCACTCAGGTGTCCCTGAAATTTTTGTTTTTTACATGTGTATGTGTATATAGGGTCACAATGTAAAATGAATTTCTTATTATGGGTCTTGGCCCAAAAATTTTTGGAGGCAATCTATAAGATTCCTTCCAGTGCTAAACACAAAATCTAATTTAAAAAAATTCATTAAAAATTTTTAACTACTTTTGGTAAAAATGTAATATCCCACATACTTAAATTTAAATGACTTAATTTTTTTAAACAGATACATAATCTAAAATTAAAAGTGTAAGAAAAACAAATAGCTAACAAGATAAAAATGCCTATTTTTGAAATGTGAAGATCCAAGAACTAGGTTTCTGTAATAAGATGCACCTGGGATTTTCTATTTAGGATACAGTCATCTGAGGATCAGTGATTTCACTGTATGACATTCAGCTTCCCGAGCTGAATACCAAAATGGTTCGTGATAAATAAAGCTTAAACCACAGCCAATGATGTATTTACATTTCCGGTCATATTTCTGGAAATATGCCTGGAATTTATATGTAAAACCTTTCAATAGCGTGTCGTATTTGTGGTTTGGGGAGGAGGGGAGAGGTGAATAATGAATATTCCAATGAATGCAACATCTTTTATCTTGGAGTAAAAGAACAAATCCTTAATGCAAACATATCTTTTTGTTATTATTATAAAAGTAATTGTTCATTGTAAAGATTTTAGAAAATACTAAATAATGTGAAAAAAGAAAATAAAAATCATCCATAATTCTGCATCAATGGAACCACTGTCTGTACTTTGGAAGAAGAAATATTAAAAAGAAACAAATATTAAGCAAATGGCAAAACCCTGTATCAGAGACAAATTCTAAATGCCATGTGTAAGTATTTAAGCACAATGTAAATTTAGCAAAACACATCAAACTCTGCCATTCTAACACAATTCTTGTATTCTGTGATTTTTCAACACCAACATTTTAAAGATTATGCAGCAAGACACACTGAAATTTTTCCATTTATCTAAAGTATTAAGATCCTTTCCAACTGAAAGATAAAGGTTTCTATTCCAGTTGATAACTAAAATGGGACGTCAAAGACAGTATGTTCTCAAGGGCTTTTTATTTTAAGAAAAACTTACTTAGACCACTGCCACTCAAAGTGTGCTCCGTGAGCCAGCACCCACAATGAGATAAGCTCAGAAAAATGAGACTATTTAGAAACTTATTTAGCAATCTGATGTTGTCATAGCATTTAAATTATATTTTACAAAAGTCCTTAGTCTGCAATAAGGGGAATTTTTTTTTTAATGGTCTTTGATCATACACACACACACACACACACACACACACACACGTATTTTAAGAAACAATTTAGACAAGTTCACTTTACCAACTATTCATACCCCACTTAGAGGAAGGGTTTCAAAACAAATAAAAAGTTAGTCCAGGAACTTGCTGAAATTCTCTACCTAGAGGCTTATTAATCTTCCCTGCCCAGGCATTTTCGCTGGTCCCTCGCTGCAACTATTAGAACCACCACTACACTCCCAATTAGAATTCAGCTATGCTTGTCTCCTTTAGAGCCGCAAGAGACCCTAGAGGGGATCAAATCATTCTTCCTAAAGAAAAACTGAGAGGTCCAGAGAGTTTAACCCCTTTGACACACTGACCTCTGTTTCAATGCTTCTTCTACCTGCTGTTTTGCAAGAGGGTTCTCACTCACTGCCTGAAGCTATCCAAAGATTTACAGCTCTCCCTGCACCGGCATAAACCTTCCTCTCTCTCCCTAAGTGCCTCAAAAAGTGCTTTTCGATTCAGCCAAGGTTACCCTTACAGACGAATGATGTAACTTATCATCCTAAAGAAGCCTCACTTGTATTGGTAAACATTTTATAACCAGTGAACAGAGCAGGTCTTTTGCTGTAAAAGTGTATGGGTTACAAAATGGTATTGTTTCTTCTTCTTTTTTTAATGGTATTGTTTCTATAAAAATTCCAAGGTTTAAAAAAATCTGCCCATAGAATTTATGATCTGTAAGTCCTCTTTCATCTAAGAAATATATAAAAAACAATATAATTTTTAAAATGATAAGCACTGCAGAGTTTTTGCTTCTATAAATCAATTTGTTGAAGCATTTCCAATTTATAGTCTCAATATTTTCAATCTCAACTATCATGACAAACACAATTAATACTCAGGAATAACACCTGTAAATGCAATGTGCATAATTTTTAATTGATTAAAATCCAAAACATAGGTCATTAAGAAAAACATTCAAGAGAAAAAAAAAAGTATTCCAATTTTCTTACCTTGGACCCTGACAACATACTGGTCAACATTTTTGTTCCTCTTCCAATTCCAACCACTATAAATCAAAGAAAGAAATATTATAACACTCTATTCTAAAAACTAGATTTTCGAAATAACTACATATTTGGGTCATAATTTCCTGGCACATGTAACATAAGGTTGGAAAGAACATATATTTAGCCTTACTAGAGGGTTCCTATTATTCCAATCAGTTGAACTTGTCATGCAATTTAGAAATTCTGAAGAGAGGATGTAAGGGTATGTAAAGGGTAAGGATGTAAGGGTAAGGATGTAAAAAAAAACTTTTTTTTTCCTCTCAAAGTGTTAAACATGATAGAAACCTCAATGCAGACAATTACATAATGAAAAGTTTTAGAACAATTTCAGAGGACTCATTGGAATTTTATATGTGGATCAGTGAAAAACACATGATACGCTTTAACCACAGTATGATAAAGTCTTCTGATAGAGTTCATTATCAAACCAAGCAAAAGCCATTATCATAAGTAATGAACCATTTAAAAATGATTAGTGTCCAGCAGTATACAATCAAGAAAACAGAAACGTAACAGATCAACCAAACACAAAGAAGAATACAAGGTAAAATACGAGCCTGGACAATGTATGTTCACATACATCATGTGTTAAGTACAATAATGCGCCACCTATCTCTTCAATTTCGAACATTATTTATCCTTATGACAACACATTTCACCAGGAGAGAAGGATAGAGTTTACAATTATTTCTCCACTTAACAGAAAGCAAATTTTTATAAGAATTGAAGTATTTCTCATTAATGGATATAATTTTGTAAAAGAACATAGTATAAACACCATGATTCAGAATTACAAGAAAAAACAAAAAGAAATGATTGACCAGCTAAAAGAATTATCATGAATATTTATAGCATATATCATTCATTGAGTTTACCATGTATCAAATTCCACTCTAAATGCTTTCCATTCATTAGTTCATTTAACCCTTATAACAACCCTAAAAAATAATACAATTATCCCTATTTTATAGGTGAGGAAACTGAGACAGATAGAGACTAAGAACTTTGCCCAACATCTAACAACTAGTTTATGGTGGTCAAAATTCAGACCAGACTAACGGAAGACCCCCTCCCTTCCTTTTGATCCTTCTGCCACCTTATCTAGGCTTTCTTCCCAATGCCATAAGCCTAAATTACCTAAACCACTACCAGCCTGACTGTTCTACAATCTATCCCTTTCTCTTCCAGTTCACACCATTTTATAACCATTTCTGATTACCTGTACTGCACACTACAAGCCCCCCAAGCAATCCTCAATGGGGTCCAAATGCCTACAGTACCAACTCTCTAGTGTTCAAAATCCATCCTTCGAAACCCAGGTCTAATCTCAACCCCAACATAAAATCATCCCTAACCTTCCCTGAGCTTCTATGATAAGAGTCATATTAGCTCAAAGACTAAGATAAAAACAATTGTCTGCCTTTAGTGTCCTATGTGGAGCATCGTACTCTTCCAATGATAGCTGCCTTTGTCCAGGAAAAAGCTTTATATAGTAATAACAAACATCCAATGCAATTTTTCCACTCAAGAATCCCCAGTCAATATTTCTGGAGCAGCTACTAAGCACACAGTCCCAAGAACAGTATTTTTAATGGAACAGAACATTTCCTGACTTTGAAAGAGTTTATAACCTCATGGGGAAAAAAAAATACAGGTAAGGGAAACTGCAAGCACGCAAAAAAAAAAAAAAAAAAAAAAAAAAAAAGGTGCATGAATTAATGAGTGAACAACACTAAATAGCAATAAGACAGTATGTGAGGAAGAGTCTAAACAAACACAGAATAAATGCTGTAGGAGGTCAAAGAACGCAGTACTCTAAACCGCTCAAGAGGCCAGATAATGCTTCATTCAAGCATTTCAAACAGCTTGAGATACGCCTTAAAAGATGTTCAGAATTTGAACATACAGAAAGGAGAGAAGCATGTTCTAAAAAAGGAACACAATGCACAAATTCTGATACAAGAATGAGCACACTGGGTTTATCAACCAGAGTGCAGGTGTCTTAGAACAAGGCTGACGTGTTTGACTTTAGCGTGGTTGAAACGCTGATTTCTCTGCTAGGTCAGTGATCCAAAATGACAGAATTTGAAACAAGAAGGCATTTTTTTTTAAAGATTTTATTTATTTATCAGAGAGAGAGAGGAAGAGAGAGCGAGCACAGGCATACAGAATGGCAGGCAGAGGCAGAGGGAGAAGCAGGCTCCCTGCCGAGCAAGGAGCCCGATGTGGGACTCGATCCCAGGACTCTGGGATCATGACCTGAGCCGAAGGCAGCTGCTTAACCAACTGAGCCACCCAGGCGTCCCAACAAGAAGGCATTTTAAAGTTATCCGGCTTAACCTTCTCATTTTATATCCAAGAAAACCAAGGCCTGCTGAAGTTAGCTGATCAGTGAAAGCAGAGTTCTAGGAAGACTACTGCAAGAGCGGTACGCAGAAAGATTATCTGGGGTTGAGGCACAGCCAACCAGTGGCTGTTAATTCAAAGGACAGTTTACTGGACAGAATTTTTACTCAGCTTTTTCTCATTCAATCGTTCCACATTTTATTCAGTACTTATACAGGCACAGAAATAAATAAGACCTGGTTTCAGCCCTTCTGTGAGTTAAGGTTAGACTAGAATGAAGCTTTACATTAGCAATATAAAAGCACAAGTGGGCAGGCTATCCATGTAGGAGAGAGCATTTCAGCCAAATCTGGAAAGCTCAGTAGGATTTCTAATACTAAAGAAGACAAAACAGTTTGAAAAGTGGGAAGAACTGGGAAAATGAATGAATAACGGGTTTGCCAAGCACTGTCTCACAGTGACTACTCTCTTTCTCCATCTCCCCAATTTTTTCTGTGCTCAAATGTCTCTCTGTAAAAAAAATCCACTATCTCCAAACCTATCCAAATGTCCTAGTATTGTATTCACAAATCATATAGACTTTTTTAAATGAGGAGAGCCACTTCGGAACAGGCAAGAGTATGACACACGTAATTCCAAAGCTTTTACAGATCAAAGTTTCTATTGCCATTTACCTAATTCTCTAACACCCTTGCAACCATCTTAAAAGACCTGTATCTTTCCACTTCTAGAAACCAATCTTAAAAATCCAAAACCAAAAGGAGTTTTATTCATAAAGATGTTCCTCACAAAATCTGTCCTACTAATAACACTCTACTAAGATGAACGATCACATATAGGGAAATGGTTAAATAATTCGTTTTTTGTTTTTTTTTTTTCAAAGTTTATTTATTTATTTTGACAGAGAGAGATCACAAGTAGACAGAGAGGCAGGCAGAGAGAGGGGGAAACAGGCTCCCTGAGCAGAGATCCTAACTGCCCACACTGAGACAGAGGAGGAGCTGGACCCACATCCTTACCAACCCGAGGACTTGGTTTGGGTGCGCTGCCGCCAAGTGGAAAACCTGTTTGCTGGAAGGGACCCTACATCGTGATCCTGACCACTCCTGCCGCTCTCAAGGTCGACGGGATTACTCCCTGGGTCCACTACACCCACATCCGGCCAGCTGACCCACACGCCGTTCTCAAGAACTTTGTTCCACAATGAAAGAGCCAGCTGGACAAGGACAATCCCTAAAGCTGAGACTGCGCCGCTCTCACGTACCCCACTAATGTTACTTATACTATGCCCTCTTCTTACACCAGTACGGGGAATAAAAAGTAACCCTCATTAACCTCCTTCTCCTCCTTACCTTCGGGCCCTGCATTACCAATAGATTAGCATCTTTTGTCAAAGACAGAGACAGTACAGGTCAGCTCATGGTACTCAGACAGCAATACCAACCACCGGACCTTGTTGCTGAGACCAGCCTGGACCCATGACTGGGTCCTTCCTTAGGTTCCTCTGAGAGGGGGAAATGTGGAGGCCGAGAAAAATTAAGGCCATCCCACCTCAGGTTTAGCCTTAGCACAAGTACAGCCATCTCAGACCCCTGTGCCCAAGGGCTGAACTTTCCCCTACTTTACTTTTGTTCTAAGGACCCCCAACCTGCTTTAGTTGCAGAGACCCCCACCCTGCTTTAGTAACAGGAAGCCCCACCCTGCTTTGGTTCCAGAAATCCCCACCCTGCTTTAGTAACAGGAACCCATACATACCCTTGCCTGAACTAAGCTCAGGGTCCAAGTCCCTATTCCGCTGTGTCGGGTATACTTGGGCCCAAGCTGAAGCTTGTTAAATAAACCCTCCTGTGATTGCATCCGTGTTGGCTCCTTGGTGGTCTCTCGGACACGAAAACTCACAGGCAGAGAGAGAAGGGGAAGCAGGCTCCCCGCTGAGCAGAGAGCCCGATGTGGGCCCTGATCCCAGGACCCTGAGATCATGACCTGAGCTACAGGCAGAGGCTTTAACCCACTGAGCCACTCAGGCGCCCCTAAATAATTGTTTTTGACTGATACGACAGAATGTTATGTTGCCCTTAAAAATAATGTTTACTTCCCTCTTAGAACTGCTTTTCCTGCACCCCATAAATTTTGGTATGTTGTATTTCCGTTTTCACTTATTTCAAGATATTCTTTGATTTCCCTTTGACCCACTGGTTGTTCAAAGTGTGTTAACGTCTACATATTTGTGAGTTTTTTAGCTTTCCTACTGTAATTGATTTCTTAGTTTCATACTACTGTGGTTAGAGAATATACTTGGCATGATTTCAATACTTTAAATATACACAATTATATTTGTCAATTATTCTTCAATAAAGTTAAAAAAAATCTTTACTGAGAGTTAACATAAATGATGTTAAGTTAAATTTTAAAAAAGGATACAGATGTACATACAATAAAAAAGTTCAACTTAGGGGCGCCTGGGTGACTCAGTGGGTTAAGCCTCTGCCTTCAGCTCAGGTCATGATCTCAGGGTCCTGGGATCGAGCCCTACATTGGGCTCTCTGTTCAGCGGGGAGCCTGCTTCCCCCTCTCTCTCAGCCTGCCTCTCAGCCTACTTGTGATCTCTCTCTATCAAATAAATAAATAAAAATCTTTAAAAAAAAAAAAAAAA